TTAAAATTTAAAATTAATTAATCAAAACTTTAATTTCTCATTGAAGATGTATTGAACGGATTATTACCTGCGACCGGAATTTCTACGGCGAATTCGGTGTAACAGAAGACGGAAAGCAGCGCCGAGACGCCGGAGACAACATAAGAGAGCACCACCGCCGGGCCGGCCTCCTCCTTGGCCTCAAGGCCCGTCAGCACGAATATTCCGGCGCCGATGACAGCTCCGACGCCGAACCACATGAGATCCCACCAAGTGAGAGTCTTCTTCATCTCGCCCTGGCTCTGAGACTTGACCTCAACGAGCTCCGTTTGGTCCATGGAACGGGTCATAACCCGATTCTTGAACCTAAACGGAGTATCCAAAAGCGCCCTCCCATAGTTGCCCCAGCTCCGAAACGACTCCTCAGGTAGGAAGTCGTTTTTGCGAAACGTACATCCCCTCCTCCGTAACCCGCCGTGGTCAACGACAAAGCTGTTGCCGTCCTTCACCATTGTGCCGCTGCACCTCACAGAAAACGACCGTCGTTCAGACTTCAGAGGAAACTATGGGATTTTGTTTTGTTGACCAAAAAACTATGGGATTTTGAAGTGATAGAAACGCGCTATTTATAGTAAGAATGAACCGCATAGCCGTGTCTACACTGTGACAGCGATTTTTTCTAACAAAATAAAAAAAAATATATTAAGAAGAATATTAATTACAATTATTCGCCGAAATTATTGATTTTTCAAATTATGTATAATTGCATCCGTGTCCCACTTCTGTTGCCCCTTCCCATTTCTATGGCTGTATTCCTATTTTATTTTTAATTTTTTTGACAACATATAGTGTACTATATACATGGATATAATTAAGGAAAACTAATTACACAATTTAAATGACTGTTTAATTCTTTTATTGTGATTAATATTGTAATCAATGTATTAAACTGCATTTTAGTATGTACTTTTATAAACTATAAACCTCAAAATTCATTCAGTCATTCAATATATGTATGAGTAAATGTACCTAGCCAGTATTTCTCACCTGCGAAATGTACTTAGCCAGTATTATAACAAGTATTAGAAATAGCAAAAGTAGCTATGTTATTGGAAACAACTTAATTAAAAATAGGAAAACGTGTTAACTTTATGAATTGAACAAATTTAAAGGATAGTTTATAATATGATTTTATTTTAAATTTAATATATAAAATGGGAAGAAACAATTAATTCTCCTTTTTTAAGAAAGGAATTAACTCTTTTTATATTTTTTTCCTGTGCCACCGACAATGACAAATTAGGCAGGAATGGGCATATTATTGAACAGAATCTGCTTGCACACTATTTGTTTATGGAATTACAAGAGTACTTTGTTATTCCTCCAATCTTAAATTTGTTCTGAATGAAAGACCATAATCTAACATGTCTATTAAATTTATAATTTATTCTCTTAATTATTTTTTTTACTAATCAGTTGTACTTAGTGAAGGGATTTTATTAGATGTAGTTTCTAATGGAAATTATTAAATGGACTATTTAAGAAATCAATACATATTTTTCTTGCAAATAATTAACTAAATTTGTTTTAATTTGTACAAACTAAGCTAGTTATATCTGTATTACCTCTTACATTTAATTTGTATGAGAAGAGTATCAGTTATATACTAACTTAATCAATTTTCTTAATCTACTCAAATTATTCAACTAATTTTTGTATCAAGGACTGAATGTGGTATATTGTATCTTTTCTTTATACATTGTAATTACCGGCCATTGGGTATTATATAAAGACGCTTAAAATGCATATAAGATTTATTACAAAAAGCATTGCTTATGGGCTATGGCCTTATTGCTATAAATAAATAACGTAGTTTAATTTATTACACATTCCATTCTCTGTATGGGTAATGCATCTAGTCAATATTATAATTAGAAGTACTCCTCCGGTCTTTAATATAAGACCCAATTTTGAGTTAGTTTTGGTCCTAAATATAAGACACATCTCTCATATTTATCAATTTTCTCTAAATTACCCCTATGGATACTCTCTCAATAATAATCAAGTAGATGAGGGAAAAGGGATATTAAGAAAGATGATTATGGTGTTTTAGAAAAAATGTGTCACTTTTTTTATAATTAACTAACTTACCTAACTTCCTTAATCTAATCAAATTAGTTAAATGGGTCTTATATTAAAGATTGGAGGAGTATTAAAAATGCCAAAAATGGTGCTGTTGGATGAAGCTTGTTTAAAATTATTTAACCACACGATTTTTACTGAAACAGTTTGGTGGATTTAGTTTTTATTCTGATTTTTGTCTGTTTGAAATTTAAATTATAACAAAAAAAAAAGAAACAACTAATTATACTTCTTCAGCGAAAAAGTAATTCTAAAAAAATGTTTATATTTTTCATGCAGCCATGAACAGGCGGAAAATAAAGTGGGGTCGTTGGCAAGGGTTCCGATAGTCGCCGAGCAGGTCTCCGACCACCGTCTGACAACAACAGCGGCAGCTCTCTGATGAGGGCATTTGTGGTAAACAGCAAATTTCCATTGCAATTAAATTGACTTTTACCACATCATTGTCTCAATTACCTCATTGAAACGGTTTTTTTTATTTAAATTTCGTAAATTGCTTATTTTCTGGTTGTTTGCTTTGTATTGTTCTAGTACTGTTTCAGTTTAACTCTTAACGACTTGAACAAGTGGTGGTGTATTTCATTCCGTTTTTTCGTGGATAAAATCTCGATCCTTTTGGTGAAAACAAATTACCTCATTAAAATATGGGCAAAATCAAACTTTTAATCTCTTCCTTCTCTTCCCGTTTACATTTTTTGTTATAATTAATAATTAGGAAAAATGGCAAAAAAGACCATTGAAATAGAAAAATTGCATACAGGGTTTGGTTTGTAAAAATTGTTGTCAAAATCCATGTTAATGTTGTTATGGGTCCTTGTTTACAATTTTTCCATTTTAGTTTTTTTTTGGCTATTTTTCCTAATAATTAACGATTAATAATAGTTCCTGTCTTTGTTTTACCATTCAAGGAAAAAGATCAAGATAGTTGAAATTAATTAGAGGGAAGGAACGGATCTCTTCACTTTTCTTCCTTTCCATTTTCATGAACGTTTTATCTCAACCATTAAGATTAAAATTTGAATGGTCCAGATTTTATATTTTTAAAAAATTATGAATAAAATATTTATTATTATTGTTTTAAAATTATTATGACTAAAATTTATTAGTTTCAATTTTATGGTTGGGCCGGTTGGGATGAGAAGTAGACAAGAATGAAGGGAAATGGAAATGGAGAGGCCTGACCTCTTTTACGAGACGTAATCAGGATTTAATTATCAAGAAAGTTGAAAACTTGAAACTTGAAAAACATAGATAGTAATAGTAGAATAAAATTTGCATAAATTTGAAAAGGACGAAGACAAATATACTACTTAAGTATCTTTACCAAAAAAAAATATATTCATTCTGTTTTTAATATAGAATCTAATCGTTAAGTTGATTTTAATTTTAAACATAAGATCTATTTATCATATTTATCAATTTTTTCTAAAATACTTCCATTAATATTCCTTCAACTATAATCAAGTAGGAGAGGGAGCTAAGAAGGATATTAATAATGATTATAGTGTTTTAGGAAAAACATGTCATATTTTTTTATAATTAGCTAACTTACCTAATTTTTTTAATCTAATTAAATTAATTAAATAGGACATATTAAGCACAAGAGGAGTATTACTTAAGTATTTATACAATACTAAAAAAAGTTTTTGCAAGACCACTGCCAGCAGTCCCCTTCCAACCTACCAAAAAAGGAGTCAGCCTATGGTGTTCCATTTTCTATATGCCCCATGGTGGTGGGGCATGTATAAATATATATATATATATATATATATATCCCCATGTTCACTATATATAAATACTTTCTTATGCTAGAATTTTTTTAAAAATAGCTCCCGCATAAAATATACGAGAGACAAGCCAATGTAACTTCACAATCTAATAAAATTCACAGATTACCCTAAAGAAAATATCAAAATAGTGTAATAGAAAAAAAGTGAAGCAAATGAAGAAAGAAAGTTCTTCAGAGGCGGTGAGAAGGGATAAATGATCACATGCACCTTGCGTAATGGGAGTGAAGCTTGGAGACTACGGAAAGTAAAAAAGAGAAGCACGGGAACAACAATAATGTCATCTCTGGTTTTTAATATAAGAGCTAATTAACTAATTTAAATAGATTAAGAAAATTTATCAAGTTATTTATTTGTAATAAATAAGTATTTTTTTTAATGCACTTGCCAATAATGTGCATTAGTTGAAACTGTCATTTAATAAAATTTTTAATATATGTAATTATTACAAGAACTATTTTAAAAAAAACGGATAAATATGATAGTCAAAATGGGTTGGAGTTTTATATTTGTGATCAAATTAAAAGTCAAACTAACTCTTATATTAGGGACTGAAGGTTTATATTCAGAGTTCCCCACGCATTATTAACAATATTGCTTTATTAATTAGCAAGTGATGTTGACTAAATTTACATATCTGTGTGCTCCAGCACGTACCCCATGAACCCAAAATCTTACGGATATAGGAGCCACCTTCCGAACCCCTCCACCGTCGGCAAGTGAGCTCAGAAGCCACCCCCACGCGGTGGTGAACGAGCAGCGTGAGAGGAGGAAAGACGCTAATCGAATATAGAATTAAAGTCTAACACTTTTATATAAATCAACGAATTATTTATAAAAAAAAAAAAAGAAGCAAATTTTGTACTAAGTCACAGCAGCAGAGTTAGTAGAAGAAGAAGAAAAGCTCTAAGACTCCTCCTCAAACTAGAATTGCCAAAAAGAACCAAAAAAAGAAAAAGAATCCTAAAAAACTGCACTTACGTACACTTTAGCATGAAAAGAATGGTTTAGAATCACAGAAATTAACTCAATTCTAAGTACAAATTAAAAAAAAAAAATCCAATCTACCTATCCATAGCTCATCATATATATTTACACATGTGAAGCTGGGTGTGTTGGAGAAGCCACACCTTCTTCCATGACGACATCATCGTTGGCAGAAGTAGTGTTATTCTTCTCAAGCTCTTTGGCAGTGTCATAAGAAGCATGCAAGCCAAACAGGACGTAGTAGGCCAAAAGCAATGCCGTCCATATCCCGAACCTTATGAACGAGTCTTTGTCAATGGAGCCTAGCAGGAAGACGTTGATGGCGATTGATAAAGATGGAAGCCATGGCACCAGTGGCACTCCCCAGTGCTTCGGCTGCTTCGCCTGTGGAACAAACAGCCACATCCCCGCCGTGCCGACCACCCAGAATGGCACCGCCACCACGTAGCCTACCCACCCGTCGCTGGTCGCCCAGTATCCGGAAATGGCGGCTGAGGATCCCAGAATTAGGACCAGGCACCCTATGAGCTTCTTCTATAAAAAGTAATATGGTAGTACAGATCAAATAAGAAGATGATCACTTAGATTCATGAAGTTAAGTTCATTATATAGTCATATTACCCAAAAAGAATAATACTAACTTTGGTCCTAATTATAAGAGCTAGTTGACCTATGAGGAGATTGAAAAAATAAATTAAGGTAGTTATTTGTGATAAATAAATGTTGTCTTTTCTAAAATATCCTTACTAATCAAATGTATTGGCCATAGCTACTATTATTAAAAGGACTACCTTAGGAAAAAAATACATAAATATGAGAGACAAAGTGGATTGGGGTCTTAAATTTATAATCAAAATAAAAGTCAAACGATGTCTTATATTAATGATCGGAGCTAGTATTATACAAAAAAAAAAGACTTTTTAATTAAAAAATAAGATTTAAAAACAATTTAAGTAGAAGAAACAAACATCAAATTAAATTTAAACAATGTCAAAATTCACATCAAATAATTTTACAAAAGCAACGGCAACATTACCTGGTTTGCTTTCGTGGTCACACCACTGGAGTAGTATCGTCGAACAAGAAGCCCCACAGCGACAAGCATGAAGATGAACAGTGTAGAAATCGACAACAGATTCGACAGAATCTCCAACTCCGTGAAGAAAGCTATCACGGCCGACACTGCGAGCATAGTTATTGTTGCATTCACCGGCGTCCCTAGCTTGGCGTCCACGTGAGCGAACCACGGCGGCATCATGTGGGTACGAGCTATATGCGTCAAGTACCGAGCCTGGCCCACGGCGCTCACCAGCATCACCGTCGTCATGCCCTTCAATGCTCCGATAGCCACTACGTACTTCGCCCAGTCCATCCCCACGGCGCTGAAGGCGACGGAGAACGGTGCGTTTACATCAATTTCGGTGTAGGGTTGCATAAGACAGAGGGTCATGGCTAGTAAGCAGTAAGCTCCGGTGGTTATCACCATGGAGCCGACGAGTCCTATGGGGATGTCTCTGGCAGGGTCCTTGGTCTCTTCGGCCATGGTAGAGACGGCGTCGAAGCCGACGTAGGCGAAGAAGAGGACGGCGGAGGCCACGAAGATGCCGCGTGGACCGTAGGGGACGAAGGGGTGGTAGTTGCTAGGGTTGGCTTTGATGAGACCGGCGATAATGATGAAGACGATGATGGCTATGTGGATGACGGTGGCGACATAGTTGAAGCGAGAGGAGGCTTTGGTGCTGAAAACGGCGAGGACGCAGATGATGGCAAGAACGACGACGGCGATGGGATCAAGGTGGCCGTAGCTGGGGTTCATGCCGTGAACGATTATGCGAAAGTCGTCAGAGCCTCTGTTGCAGAGGGTGGCGAAATAGGAGGTCCATGATCGAGCCACGGCGGCGCTGCTGACTGTGTACTCGAGAAGGATGTTTCCGGCGGCTATGAAGGCCACAAAGTCGCCTAGCTCTACCCTTAGGTAGGCAAATGATCCACCTGGGAGGAAAAACCAATATATTGCTTTGAACTTAATTAAAAATTAACAGGGTTCTCTGCGAACCGAAGAATATGAACAAATTAAAAAAAACCTATATTTAAATAAATTAAATCAATATTTTAAAAAATAATGATATACTTTAAATATGAATGATATATTAATAGGAAAAATTTATTATAAAATAAAATCTTGTAAAAAATTTATATATCTAATTTGATTAGCAACATTTATATGTTTCATTTTTTTTTGCCAAAGTATATGCTTAATTTATAATTTATAATATTAGAATACACACATTTGTTTCTCATTTCTCCATTATTTTTCATTTCTCAATGCTGTTAGTTATAGATAAATATAAGTAAATCATAAATTTAAAACATTAACTAGTTTTAAAAAATTAACAAAAAAATGTTATGGAATACACACTAGTTTGACAACTTTTTTGTTTTTGTTTTTTGTAAGTATGGGCAATTACGAGGAGAGTTTCTTCATCTAAATCAACACATCAAAATAATATATGATTTATAAAAAATAACCTACTTATTGATATGAATAGGATAACCTCCATGCGTATGTGAGTTTATATGTGTGTAGACACACACACACATTATATACACACACATGTATATATATATTATGTATATGTATATTGTATATTGTATATTGTATTCAATACAAATTCACAGTACTGAAATGTTGAATATATGAGCTAATTGATGATTGAATTTGATCCTAAATATAACATTACAATCCATTTTATTTTTTATGTTTATCATTTTTTTTACTAAACTAGTAATTTAGCTAGCATATAAAATAATATATAATTTTATATAGTATTTCAATGAGATTATTTCATTTTTTTATAATTAATTAATTTATCTAATTTTTCAAACTACACGAAACCTTAATTAATTAAGGATTGGAGGGAGTATTTTTTTCCTGCATGGGAGAACAAATAACATACAAATACAGATTAACATCAATTATTTATGCGCTCTGGCCAAAAATCAATTTATGCACATGTTCACTCAAACGTTGATTCCCAGTAGATCATTAGTTTTGCAATTTTAAATGAACAGATTAAATTAATTAATTACCTTTTTTTTGGACCAAACTACCTTTTTTTTTTTCAATTACTTCACCCGACAGCCCCTGTGTCACGGAAAACTCAATAGGCTTGGACTAATCCTGTTCGGCCGTCGTAGGACCCTAAGGGCGGCTAGCCTACCACCAAGTATTTAATACTACTGCATAATTAAAACTTGAACTCAAGACCCTTGGTTAACCTAGGATGGCCCCTTACTAGTTGACCTAAACGCTTGGTGGTAAATTACCTAATTTAATAGTAAAAGATATCGAACGAATCAAAGAATCAGTTACCTGCGACGGGAATTTCGACGGCAAACTCGGTGTAACAGAAGACTGAGAGTAAGGCGGAGACGCCGGAGACAGCATAAGAGATTATCACCGCCGGGCCGGCCTTCTCCCTAGCCTCAAGGCCAGTGAGCACGAATATTCCGGCCCCGATGACTGCTCCGACGCCGAACCACATTAAGTCCCACCAATTGAGCGTCTTCTTCATCTCGCCCTGGCTTCTAGACTTCATATCGACGAGCTCGGTTTTATCCATGGACCGGGTCATGAACCGATCCTTCAACCGAAACGGAGTGTCCAAGAGCGCCCTCCCGTAGTTTCCCAAGCTCCGGAACGACTCCTCCGGGAGGAAGTCGTTTTTACGAAATGTACATCCCCTCCTCCGTAGACCAACGTCGTCCACGGTGACATCATTGCCGTCGTTTACCATTTTGCTGCTGAAAGCGGAGAGAATAGATCGTAATATGAGAGTGTGGTGGGTGCAATTGGATAGATTAAGTATAGATCCGAATAACAGTATATAATAAAATTTGCGGTATTCTCTAACTGATTTTTTTAAAGAATTTAAAGGAAAAATATGATTAAAAATGAAAATTAGTTCCTAGTATTACTTTTACAAGAAAATAAAAATTATAAAAAATAAAATGTTTAAATTAAATATTTCAGTATACATATAGGCTATAGAGAAAGGAGAGGAAAAAAAAGGAAAAATACACAAACCTTCTATTTCATAAACGTGATGTTAAATATTATTGTAATGCAGAAGTTGTGATGAAAAAAATTTGATTTTAAATTATCCTGATTTTTAAATTGGAGAGTGGAGACAAACAAGATGCCAAAAAAATAGAAATATATATGCTGAAGTATATATTTAATCTTTTAATTTTGTATAAAATTTTAATTTAATCCTTAATTTTAAAAAAAAAATTTAACCCTTTAACTATAAAATTGTTAATTTTAGATAATATTTTTTATAATAACTATCATTATTTTAAAAATTAAACTTAATATTGTAGTAATTTAAATTTTTTCTTAACATGTTTTTTTAACGATTTTAAGTTTAAATAATTAAAAATATACCCGTTTTAATTAAAGGACTAAACAAAAAGTTTGTATAAAATTGAATGATTAAAAATATTTTTTTTGAACATATAATAATATGATAAGAAAAAGTTACATAAAAAATGGAAGGGATTTGAAGATTAGAAATTAAAAATTTGAAAATTAAGATTACAATGGAAGTTATTATAACAGAAAGAAAGAAGTTGGGGAAATAAGAGAAATTTTTTGAAAACTTTTAATTAAAATATAAAATATATAATTTAAATTTTCATATGCGTGAAGTGGAAATCACATTTTTCATAAACTACTATATGAGAAGATACACTCGGATCGAATAGAGGCAGCCATTTGGTTTAACCAAATATAATCACATGGCTCCAACTAGACTATCATATACACTCTCAAATACGATGGAATCACCCTTTTTAAGAAAAGTATAGATTTAAATAATGATCTACAATATGATTGCAATAATGTTTAACTAATTTTTAAAAATATTAAGAAAAGGTCTAACATGAATTAGTTATTTCTTCAATAACATTTCCAAGTCATCGCCACTATTATCATTGCGCTGATAAAAATATTCCTTTTTATAAAATAAAATGACTTAAAATAAATAATGCTATAGGGCATAAATAGTCAAGTTAAAAAAATATATATTACACAAATTTAAAAAATACTACCTCCGGTCCTAAATATAAGAATTCATTAATTAATTTAAGTGGATTAATGAAATAAGTTAAGTTAGTTATTTGTGATAAATAGGTGTTGTCTTTCCTAACATATATTTGCTAATCAAGATTGTTGGCTATAATTACTATTATTAGAAGGACTATCTTACAAAAAATAGATAAATATGAAAGACAAAATAGATTGAGGTCTTATATTTAAGACTAAAATAAAATCAAACGAGATTTTATATTAAAGATCAAAGGTAATAGTCAGGTGGACTTAGAAACAATTTTGGCACATAAAGGATCCCATCAAGATAGAAATAAGGAAATCTGGAGGTGCCAGCTATCTTGTTAGAATGGATTAAAATGGATTATTGTTAACATGAAGACACAGGAGTAGGGGCCGCTATAAAATAACACTATACAATGAGATTGTATTATCCTCTAACTAAATTTTGAAAATAAAAAATAAAAAATAAAAAATAAAAAACATAATATTTAATTATCTATTCAATTTCATTTACAAAGTCAAATTTTTACTTTTACATTTCACGCTTCTTTTACATTTATATATATAGTTAGAATACGCAGATGATTAAAAAAAATAATATTTACACTAAAATAGCATCACGAATACGAATGTTGTACTTGCATTTTTTTTCTCGAATCGTAATTGGTTCTTACAATCCAAAAAGAGTGTGTGTGTGTGTGTGTGTGAGTGTGTGTGTATTTTGTGTGGGGCTCAAATGAAAACTACCCCTAATGTTTCCCATAACTTTCCTCTTTTTATAGGTGGTTTTCTAATAATTCCCCACTTCTATTATGAATGTGGGTGCTTAGATATGTAAGAAAAAACTTAATTCAACTTAAAGCCTTTATTTAAATAAAATGATATATATTATTACAAATTTTATATATTAAATATATAAAATTTGTCCACCACCATTACATCTATATATTATAATAAAGTCTGTTTCAAAAATTATATATATCATAAATATATTAATTTTGATCCTCAAGTATCTTTAATAGAATTTTATAATTCGGTTTAACTTAGGATATTAATTTTTTTCATATGACATCGCCCAAAGATCTTATATTTCAAAATAAATTTTCTAAAGATTTCAAATCCTAAATTATGTTATGAATATAATAATATGTTTATGGATGTCCATATATCTTCCATTATCTCCTATATCTCCTATAATCTCTAATATCTTCCATTATCTCTATATCCCACAATTATTTTCTCATTATTATGTAATCTGTAGATTCTATCAGATATAAAACCGTGTGTATAAATAGAATTCATGTATCATATATTGAGTACAATTGAATAAAATGAGAAACACTCTCTCTTGTTGATACTCTCTTCTTCTTTATTATTCTTCTCTATTTCTTTTTTATTTATAACAAATTATATATAATATAATACTATTATTTCATCTTAAATCAAACTTCAAAATAATAAGAAGGTATTATTTCACCATAAACAATCTTTTGGGACTATATTAGTGTGGATTCAAAATGTCCCTACTCTTCTTAGATTTTCCTGTTTGGGTGAAAATCAAATTATAGCTTTAAAAGTAATTTTAAGATATACGAAATAAATATGTAAAAAAAAAATTTTACCTCGAGTGAAAACATTTTTATAAATGTTTTCATGGGTTGTCAACCCCCACCCCCCAAAAGCACGTGCTTGCTCAGTTCTGATTTATTGACCCGGACATCTGGATTGCCCATGTTTTGTCACTTAATAGTTTCCATGTTTTCTCTTTCGTGCGAACTACATGCACAAGTCTCCATTGCATTCTCAGCTTTCCTTCATCGTGCCGTGAGATTCAGCATTGGATGGCGCCTACTAAAACCCTAAGGTGGATTTTTAAAAACTTAATGCCAACTTATTAGGTATAGGCAACTAAGCTTTCCAGAGCTCTGCCATATCAACAAATGGTTCAGGGTTATCATCATCCACGAGCACATTTGGAGGAGCTCAAGTTTGATGTTGGACTCTTCATGTTTGCTATGTCTTGGTCATTAATAAATGTATGAAGAAAACACAGAGCATAAATGAAACCGAACCCAATTCTCTTCATCTTATAATTTCGGTAGCGAAAGAACCATTGCCATATCAACAAAATAAGGCAACAAATATGGCCATAAGGAAGCAGATGCCATAACATAAAATCAGAAAACGCAATATCATCAATATTTGCCTCACGAATCTAAACTCAAATGCACAGTAACCAGAAACAGAACATCAATTTTTGTTCCATGTCAGCCCTACTGAAGAACATTTTTGCATGCGCCCAAGATGAGACCTTCCACATTATTTATACAACATAATCTAGTGACAACAAAATTTCAGTCGTTAAAGAACTAAATTGCATTGACATGTTTGCAAAATTACACACCACTTTGAGAGGCATAAAGAAATGGAAGGGAAGGACACGCATAAAATAAATATATTTCATAGTTTTGACGAACAAGAAATGCTAAGGTAAGTGTTTCAGTATCTATCTAACTAGGGCCACTGATTAATCCTTGTGTGCATCTCATTCCAAGGCAAGGGCATCATCAAGTTCTGAGCTCGTGTTATAGAAGGATTCCATCTTTTCTGTTCAGGTCTTCCAAGTTTATGCTTGCCTCCAGTCCCGTGCTTAGTAAATCAACCATGGCAAGAATATCAGATTTCAAGGAGGCTGCTAATGCCTAGAAGTCCAACAGAAAAAAAGAGGCAGATAATCATGAATTAGTTTCTTTGAAGTGGCAGAACCCAAGAAATTCGGCAGTAAAAATTTGGGAGAATTATATATTAATATGGAAAATTTTTCATCAGGAATGGTAATTCTCCCTTTTCTTCCACAATTCGATAGTATACCTTCCTGTCCTCTTCTTTTTGGTGCTTTATAACTTCCAAAGGCCACTCAGATACAAGCTTCTGAAGTTCGTCCTTCATGCCTGACTTTTTAGCATCAGGCAGAGTCTGCCAAGCAAAAACTCCAATAGTGTCAAAAGAAAGACGTGAAATAAATAACAAGTTATCCAACAATTGAATCAAACACAACCACCATCTTAGCAGAGTAAGCAAAACAAGCAAAACAAAACATCTGAAGGAACAAAATTTAAGGGACCGTTTGGATTGCACTCCAAACCTTGGTTTGGAGGCCCAAACCAAGGTTTGGCCAAAATGTCATCCAAACGGTCATGCAAATTTGGAAAACCAAGGTTCTGATAAAACCATGGTTTCAACGGTTGAAACCATGGTTTGGCGAGCAGCACAATTTTTCTGCTTTTCGGATATTTGCTGAAAGGTGCGGGTGGGTCCCTCCACAAATGACCAAAGGCTCCATTATTGCTCTGAATAATTCACTCCTCTCGTTCACACCTCCAGTTCTCCCGTCGGTCCTCGCACCCCACGCAACACCATCCTTCACAGTCTGCACCACGGTCTTCGTCTCCTCCTTCACAGAACCAGTCGCCGCCGGTGAAGAAGTCGGCGTGTAGCCACGGTTTGAAGAAGTCGCCGCCGGTGAGAGAAATCGCAGCTCCATGGTTGAAGAAGATTGTAGCTATTTCTGGCGCTTAGGTTCGGTGTGAAGCATTTGGCTGTGGTCGCCGGTCGGTGTTCCCTGGTTCAGATCCGTCGCTCAGGTAAGGTAGCTCAGATCCGCAATTTTCTTCTTCTCCATAGCCCCTGTTTCTTGCTCTGTAATCGGCGTGTTGCGAGCTGGACCTTCTGGTTCTGGGTCTTCTTCTGCCTTCAATGAAACCGAAATCGTTGATGCTGGGTTTAGGAATCGTTTGTCGTTGATGCTTGCTGGGTTTAGGAATCGTGAGCTTGCCATGAGAGTTTGACCCGTTAATTATCCGTTCGGAATCGTTGATGCTTGCTGGAAAAATTCTGATTTGTCGTTGATGCTTGCTGGAAAAATTCTGATTTGAACATTGATGTTGTTTAATCGGCTGTTTGTCGTTGATGCTTGCTGGAAAAATTCTTATTTGTCGTTGATGCTTGTTGGAAAAATTCTGATTTGAACATTGATGTTGTTCGGCCGTTTGTCGTTGATGCTTGCTGGAAACTTGCCATGACCCGTTGAATGTCCGTTCGGATAAATTCTGATCTGAATTAATCTTGCTTATTAATATTAGGTTGGTTTATGCGTGGCATAGGACAGAAATTATTCGGTTGGTTTGAGCCTGATATATGGTATTTTCGGTTGGTTTATAATGTCTGAATTTTTTTTTTGGTTCTGAGATATGTTTATCTTATGCACAAATATACCAAATGCAAATCTTTGTGTTAAATGTTTGAATCATGGTAACAAAAATGTTCAACATTTATAAGTTTTGTCGCATCACGGTTTGTCGCCTGACTGTAGTGAATTTTTTTTTTCAGTGCTGGCTTGAGGTGTTTGGTTGGTGCTGATTTTTCTTCATTGATAGTTGTGGCTGACGTTTTGGTTTCATTGGTGGGTTAATTTTCATTCATGGATTCATTTGTGTAGCTTGGTTTATCTGATTTCGGTTTGCTTCCTTTGTTGAAACCGAAACATCGTGCTACTCTCAAGGATGGTCTTTGCTTTCGGGGCCAGAGGATCAGTTTTCGGTTCATATAGTTTGACTAGTTTTTTTAGAGATATATTTGTAATCCTTATGTTTTATTTTTTGTAATCCTGTTCTAAACAAAATTATAGGATGTTGTATTTGTGGTAATCAAATTTAATTTATTTAATTTTTTTTTCTTGTCATTAAAGGAATGGGAACATAGTTTCATTTTATGTTGGATTAAAAAAATTAATTACATGTTATAAAAACATAGAATGAATTTCTTTTTGTTTGAAATAAAAATGAAGGAAAGAAAAATGTTAATATGGTATTCATAGTTGATTTGGGTAACAATGACACTTGTTATTTCAATTGATTTTGAGTTGATTAACCTGTGATGACTGAAGAGCTGTAATTGTGCTATAGCATAATGCCTAAGAATACGGTGAAAGCTTCCTGGGACCTACGAACCACGAAAGTGTTTATTGATCTATGCATTGAACTTGTGCAACAAGGGGAAAGAAAAGGTACTAGCTTAACAAAGAAAGCTTGGGATATTCTGGCTGATAAATTTACTGCCAAAACTGGAAGAGTGTATGAAAAAGCTCAATTTAAGAATAAATATGATTCCCTAAGAAAGGAGTGGCAGACATGGGATAGGCTGCTTCGTGAGACGGGATTGGAATGGGATACTGAAAGGAATACTGTCAGTGCAACTGATGATTGGTGGGAGAGAAAAATAAGGGTAATTATTGAACCTTTTGATCTTACATTTTTCTCTACTTGTTAATGTTTTGTGTATATTTACTGTTTTTGGAATATTTTATGATATTATTGGTGTCTAATGTGCAGGAAGTTCCAAACTACAAAAAATTCAGAGAAAGAGGACTTCAATTTAGGGATCAATTGACTCAACTATTTGGAAGTGTGGCTGCAACTGGACCACAAGCATGGGCACCTTCTTCCATGACACTTCCAAGTGAAGGAACACCGAATGAAGATTTGGAAGAAGGGTCCGGAGACAGTGATGAAATTTTAGGTGCACCAACTGGTATAAGTGGGGAATTTAACACAGTGAACTTCAATGATAATAGTGGAGGTAGTGGAGGCAACACTGAATTGAGGCAGGATACCAGTGGTGGGGGTACAAGCAGAGGTAGGAGTCGACCTAGTAGCTCACTGGGGGTCAGAAGGAAGAGTGAAGTCAAGAAGAAACGCACATCTCCCTCTATGAAAATAGCGGATGCAATTAGCAAGATTGTTGAAACAAATATTTCTGAGGCCGAGCGTGGAAATGAGGTAATTTCACGAGCAGAAGCGAGAAGGTTGGAAGAAGAAGCGCGTGCTTATGAGATTTCAATTAGGGGAGTCCTGTCTCACCTGAAAACAGTTCCTGAAGTTGTCAGTGATCCTGATTTCTTTAGACGGTGCACACAACTCCTTATGGAACGGCAGGATGCACGAGAAATGTATGCAGCTCTGAAGGATCAGAAGGAACAACTTCTACCCATTTTAGAGCATTTTACTAGGGATTTATGACTTGTTTATTATATTAGACAGTTCCATATGTGTATGTTTTATGTGACCAGTGGATTGTTATATGAATCAGACAACTCTGTAACTTTTATAAATGTTTCGTAATTTCTACGTAGGAATTCTAAACTTTATGTGTATGTGCACAGGATAAAACGAATATGGATGATGAAATTAAACATGTGGAAGAGCATGCTAAGGGACGGAAAAAAAGAGTTAACAAAGTTGCAGCATTGGTTGGTGCATACGCTACTTTGAACTTGTGTAAGGACCCTCGGCATACAAGTGCTTATACAGGCTGCATATGGGTAAGGGATGTTTTAGATGGCAACTCCAGTCGTTGTTATAACATGTTTAGGATGGAACGGGATGTGTTCTTAAGTCTGGTGGAACAATTACAACAACATGGTCTAGAAGAAACTAAAAATATAGGGATACATGAATCAGTTGCAATGTTTTTACATACTGTTGGGCATGCACTTAGTAGCAGAATGCAGCAAGAAAGATTTCAACATTCAGGGGAGACAATTAGTAGACATTTTCATAATGTCCTAATGGCATGCTGTAGACTTGCCATGTCTAATATCAAACCAAAAGATCCAACATTCCGGCATGTTCATACAAAAATTCGGTTTGATAAATACTGGCCTTTTTTTAAACATGCTATTGGAGCAATTGATGGCACACATGTTTCCTGCGTTGTCAGTGCAACAGATCAAACTAAATTTATCTCTAGGAAAGGAACAGTGTCACAAAATGTCATGGCGGTTTGTGATTGGGACATGTGTTTTACTTTTGTCTTGGCCGGATGGGAAGGTAGTGCACATGATGCTCGGATATTTGATCATGCCCTCACAACTCCTTCAATGAACTTTCCCCATCCACCTGAAGGTATTTTTTTTATTTTCTATATTTTTTTTATATTTAGCTTAACAATAGAAACATAATTTACAATAATTTCATTTTTTATATAGGAAAATATTATTTGGTGGATGCTGGATACCCAACACCGAATGGATATCTCGGCCCATACAGACGGGAGCGTTACCATTTGCCTGATTTTCGAAGGACATCTGGGTTTGAAAATGACAATGAGATCTTTAATTATTTCCATTCAAGTTTAAGGAGTACAATTGAAAGAACTTTCGGAGTTTGGAAAAAAAAATTCGCAATCTTACAAAACATGCCATCTTATGATTTTGAAACACAAGTTAAAATCGTTTGTGCAACGATGGCTATACATAATTTTATTAGAATGACATCTATTACTGATCCTGGATTCGTTCAGTTGGAAGAAGAAGGTACTTATGCAGAAGATGATGATAATGGGGTTAGATTTTCACGTATACATTCATCAATTCAATCTTCATCTTACATGGCTCAGGTTCGTGACAGCATAAGAGACGAACTTGTTAATTCAATACGAGGATAGTAGTCATGTCTTATTTATTTCCTTTTATCATAGATTGTAATATGTAGTTAAAAACAAAACCTATTACAAATGCTTTGTATCGATGCATCATCTTAATGATTATGACACTTCTTTATTTATATTTCTCTTATTAATATTATGCCTTATATTCTCAAGCTAATTATTACTTACTTGAATAATTAATAAATTATTTTAAGTCGTGTTTATTCTATTTTATCAAACAATATCATCCCATTTTATGTTTATAATCTTCATGAAAAATACATGACTTTCTGTTTGCAACAAAATAATTCTTCTCCTCTAAAAATATTTTTCACTCTTATATTTTATGAATATATATGTGTGGTGACAATTAATTAATTAATTGTATTAAACATCAGAGGTTATTATACATGTAGTATGTTATTACAAAAAAGTAGTTGTGAAAAAATGTTATGGGATTTCACGTTTACAATCTTTAAACCAAATTAATATTTTTCTGTTATAAAAAATCATTTTTCTATAAACATATTTAATATTATGTTTTATAAATATATGTACAACTTTAATATGTAATTAATATTATATTATCTTATTATATTATAATTTGTTAGTAAAAAAATTTCATTAACAATTTATTTCTTCAAATCAAAATAAATCATAAAATCTATCCTTTATATAATTATCATATTAACTTATACCCTTTTTGGTAATTTCCACATGTAAAAAGCACTTCTGGTAATAACTATCCAAACACTCTCACTTCTCAGAATCACTTTTTCTCAGAATCTATTCTCACAGAATCTATTCTCCAGAATCACTTTTCCAAAACACGGTTTGAAGTCATCCAAACACACTAAATCTGCAAATCCAGACCTCGGCTATAACACACATGATAGCTCACACCCCACAAACTCAATTAACGATCAGTCAAGAATAATGGTATCCCAAAAGCCAAATTCCAAGTAAAACAGAAAAAAATATCTTCACTCTGTTGTTGCCAGAATCAATTTAGCTTTAGTGCCTTTGGAAAAAAATATATATTTGTGTTACAGCTTGAGACATTTTCTCTTATTCTTGTTTGAAAATATATTTGTTACCTTTATTTTCTTTTGTTGAAATTATTTGTTTTTTCAACCAAAAAAAAAAAAACAGAAATTATTTGTTTCACTTCATCAGGTAAAACAACACATTGCATTAGAAAATAGGCAACGCCAAGCATACCTCATTTAGGGCCTGAATGACGGTTGCTGCCTCATTAGGTTTATGTTCCAACAGAAGACCCTGCACAATCATAAATATGAACTTAGTTCAAATTGTTACATTGTTTAGAAATCATACATGCTAAACAAATGTCAGCACTGAGCTAAGTTCTTGGCAACTTATATGAGGAAAAGGTGAATTTTTGCAAGACTAGCCAAATTAACCATAATTAAAATAATAAATTGCAAGACAAATAACATATCCCTCCCATAAAACATGTCCAACTACAAAACCCTCCCTCTATTTTTGAAAATTGACACTCCCATGCCCTGAAATCAAAAGATGCGCTACATTAATATTACCTGAATCAAAATACCTGTGCATCTATTATTTGTAAAACACAATTATTAGTGACAAAGATTCACTGGGATCCAACACAAGAAAGTTCCAGTGTGATAAAATGCATAGTAGACACAGCATTTAAACTGAATAACCACATTTTACCAAAAAACAACTAATAATTC